TCAAGTTTCTGTTGTACACAAAAGATTGGGGTTTGTAAGATTGATCAAAAATGCAGTAAGATGTTGAAATATTATTACAATTTAAAGTATTTTTTCTTTATTTAAATACATTAAAATGTTATTTATGACAGTGGATTTTTTAGCAGCTATTATTCCAGTCTTCAGTGTCACATGATACTTCAGAAATCATTTAATATGCTGAATTGATGCTTATAATTATCAGTGCTGAAAACTTATATTTTTGTGTAAACGGTCATACATTTTTTCAGGTTTCTTTGATGAATAGAAAGTTTGAAAGAACAAAATGTTTTTGAATTACTTGAACATTTATTAAAACTGTTTCCTGTCACTTTTAATGTGTCTTTGCTAAAAACATTTACTGAACCTAAACTTTTGAACAGCAGTGTATGTAAAAGATAAGTCTGGATATTGTACAGAATATCTCTTTTTGTGGGTGAACGCTTTCACTTATTTATAACCCCATATCTCGTATGTCCTGATATGTCTATTTCTTATGCAGACACACACTTACGCACACACATGCACAAAAGCAAGTGCAAACATTCAGAGATACACGAAATTAAACTTCTTAACCTCTGCATTACACACAAATGACACCTCTGTGCTTGAGGTCACAATGATAATAAACTTAAGTTATGGGCTTCATTGTGAGAGTGTCGGGTTTTTCATCCATATTATTTAAACTGGCATAAAATCTTAATTTGTCAAATTGAATCACTAGTAAAACTGTTAAATGAAGCGCTAAGTCTTCTAAGCATTGGTCCTTTTATTTATTCTCAGATACAAGTTTCTGAGAGGAGCAATGTGCTTTACAAGGAACGGTCCATTATATCAGTACACCACGTTCACATAGCAGACTGACCATGGCAGGTGAACTGAGTAAGAACTGCCTGTCTCCCTTGGTATTGATCCAGGGCAGGTATTTAATCCTTTCCTAACTGTGTTTTATGCTCCAGTGGAGAGGCGGCCATGTGTCTCTACAGAGACCAGGGCAGGCATCCTGCAAGGCGAATTAATGACTTCAATAAAAGTGCCACATTTTCCACTCAAGTCCCCAGTCAAGGGTTTTATTGGTGAGGTTTAATTTGGCTTAAACTGGCCGGCTGCTTTAGGCACGGTCACAAATACTAATCACCTTTACCCCGAATCACAATTAGAACAGGTATCAGCATGACGATATGTTTTCTGAAGACAGAAACAGGGAGAAACAGAGCGAGAGAGTCTAACACGAATCTCACTTCAAGCTCACTCTGCCGGCTTCATGCTGTTTTTTGATAAAGCTCAGAGGAAACAACTCCACATCTCATCTGGTGCATCTGGTCCACTTCTGCTATTGTTCTGTTTCATCTGCGATTGTGTTGACAGGCTGTAACTTGGCAGCAATGTAGCACAGAAGGGGAAATTGCTGGCACCTGCTTAGCAAAAAACCAGAGCAATGTTTAAAAGGAAACTAGATGCGGTGTCATGCTGAGAAAAACTTCAAAGCGCAGAAGGATTAGTTTATGTGACATTGAAGTGGCCAAATAGTTTAGCAGGGTCAGGACAGGGTAAAGAGTTAAAAACCATTATGAAAGAAAGAAGAACCACGAGAAAACTCACAACATTCCCACAAATGTGTATTCAAGTGAAGCCCATAACTGATAGAATGTTTACTGTCATTAAGTCCTATAACCAGAAATGTTTGTGATTGGCTTTCTGCTTTTCTACACTCTAAACAAGCAAGGTTCAGGGGTTTGCAGTGAATCCATATAACAACCATTCTAGTTTCTCCGAAGAACTTCCTAAAACAACCATTTGTAAGGTGCGTTCACATTTACTGTTCCTCTGTGAAGTTTTGTGGATGAAATCCAGTCATTTTAATAGGAATCCACGCAAGCAGAAGTTATTTTGTGTAAGGTTTCATGTTCCTGAATTTGCAGTGTTGAACAACAGAAAGCTTTGAAATTTTTGCTTTGAAAGTTACTATGCCCGAAGAACCGATTAAACTTCGTCGCAATATTGATAATAGATTAACCTGTTTTGCCCACCAAATTTTGCTAATGTGACCACACCATTAGTGTGAAGAACATTAATAATCTGAAGAAACTTCTTCCACTTTAAAGAACCTTTTGTGGATGCTAAAGATTCTTCATGGAACCATAGATGCCAATAAAGAACCTTCATTTTTAAGAGTGCAGCTTAATATTGATAGAAAGCTTGTAGATCGAGTCACACCAAAACGTAATGACACACTTTATCCTTTATCTTCTAATAAAAGTCTAATAATAAAGCTTAATAAGTCCTTCAATAGTCCTTGTTGATAACAATGCTGATAATAAACATTAACTTGACAATAATTAACAGGACCTTTGCCTGTCAAGGAAAAATGGTCCAAACTACTTCTGAGCCCACACTACACGAAAAAAGCACATGCAAAGTGCGTGCTTGTTTCAAAATTCTGATCAACACATATAGTTTTAGAGGCTTATCTCTAGATATCTTCAATCACCTACTGCATTCCTCAACCTTTTCTTTTCTGCTATAGATGAAAACCTGTTAAAAGCTGTAGATGTAAGAGCCTAAGGAAAGGTTTAAAACGCTTCGCTCTGAGCCATCTAAATTGTCGGCGATGACCTAACCTCCGTATTTTATTCTCGCACGTCAATACTGCCACAAGTGACAACACCAATAGCTTCACTAAAAGCTTCTACTTTTGTCCAGAGGACCACAAGGGGCTGGAGATTACCAGCCAATACAGAACGTGTTGAGTTACACCATCTAAAGTGGAGAGAGACAAACAACAATGTGCTTCATCGGAGACCTGGTGGACTGCTGGTGTTTTTACTTTTTACATAACACACTTGACATGGTGGGAATATTTACACAGGGTTCTGCTGATCCAGCCATTCAAAATTCAGCCATGTTAATCATGATCCACTTCGAGCCTCCAGTGCATGAGATGGGTATGCAAGATAAGCATATGTCTGATGGCGTAATATGATATAGCTTGATATATGGGATGTTTCTGCTGAAGTCAGTGTCAGGTTGCTGACCAGATTAAACCACTCAACTCACTGATACATCTAGAGGCCTGTGTTGTTGCCATAAAACTCCACTGCATTTAAGGTAAAAAAACTGACCGCAAATAGCCTCAGTAGCCATTAAATTCAACCTTTGCTGTGAACCGTTGGCACAATAAAATCTGCTCCTACTGTAGGTGTTTCAAACTACAAATTACTCCACATATTTAATTATACACTTAAATGCTATGAGTTCATTAGTAAGTTTGAAAACAGCCACTTGTGAGGCCACCATGCCACTGGGTTATAGCTTCTCTCACACAATCTGGTGCTCAAACCAGACATTACCCTCACAAAACACCCTTATTAGCTCAGGCGGGTGGCACTGGAGCAGACACCTCATTGGTTCACGGGAAGATTACTCTTCTCTTCTAGTCATGCTTTTAATGTTAGTTCTTATCTCGCATCCCCAAGAGGGCAATTACTGTTTGCTCAAAAGGAATGATTAAATGTTGCACTTGTTTCCTAACAAAACCAAGAGGGAGATGCCATATCGGCCAAGGCACAAGGGAACATTCCAGAAAAGCGTTTCACGTGCCACACTGCCCTTTGCCTCTAAAAGATCAACCACATGCTGGAGATGCTGCAAGAAACTAATCAGCCACAAATTACGGCAAGGGGGAGAGGAGAATACACACATCCCAACTGTATTTGATTCATATTGTGTTACATATAACAGCTATTGAGCTAAAATGAAATATGAAATGCAACTACTGCGATATCGGTTTTCATATATTTTTGTCATTCGCTTCCAAAAATGGATATGCAGTGACTGATTCTTTTATATGACAAATATGAGAGAAAATATATTGTATTATACACAATGCAAACACTGCCAAAGGCCCTTGTTAAATTGCTTGTTAAATCAAGTTGTACCCACTATAACCCACATGTGTTCAACAGAGGAATTCAGTGGAAAAAACACTAGAGCATCAAACTAAATGCATTAATACATAAGCTATTATAACTACATGGGGACTGTTGTCCTTTACAATTCTGCCTAATTGAAAAGGTTAACATTATGGCTCATTAAAACATTTGAAATGCAGTTTCCTAAGTGAGCAGTATGTTCTATGTAGCCAACATTAACATAAAGTCAAGGGTTTATTTTGTGTCCATCTTGAATACATGGGCAAATAATTACATTTAACAATGAAAAGCTGAAACCTACTTTTACTGTGTGTTATTTTAGACACTTGATGCTTTTTTTGCCTGTCAGTCTTGAGTTTCCAAATCCTCTATGCTGCACTGCACACTGAAAAACTGAAATGAAAGATATACTATATATGATTTAGATTCATATGCACATAATATTCTATTAAAAAGACAAAGATGTGTCTTTTGTGGTGCTTTTTATTGCTTTATTGTATATTTGATTAGGTTTGTCAGTGAGGTACAATCCTAAATAATCACCATTATGATGATTTTGTATGGTAAAAATGTGCTTACCAAAAGTGGAAATTTGTAAAAATAGCAGCGTTAAGTTCTCTTTCTAATACTCTGAACACCATGTAGCGTCATAACCTCACAATGATTGCAATGACTAAATGAACTGTAATACTGTCAACAATGATTACCACGTTTCATAGCTATTTCCCCAACATATCTTAAAAAGGCACCTCATAGAATGACCCCAAAAACTTGTATTATGTCTATGCATTATCAGCCTAATGTCTTATTATATACATCACGCGCCTAAATTACATAATATTAGATCTCGAAAGCATGTTAAGACGTGGCAATAAGGCAAAAGTACAATTGTGTTGCAAAATTGTTCAATTGTGACACTAGTTTTAAAAGTAATGAAAGCACTGTGAGAAAACGAGATTTAATGGACTAATAGAGCATCAACATTTATCATAAGACTAACATAACCGAAGGAAAATAAAAAAAAAGCAAAAACTAAATGATGACACTTACATGATAGTGTGCCCGCAGGTCATTTAGTAATAGCGACATTCATACTGCCAGTGATAGAGGTGATGCTCTCTGTATCTCCAAATCGCACACGCAGCGACAAATCCATCAAAACTCTCCGTTCCCCCTTATTTGAATGAGGATCCGGGCAAACACCGAGCAGAACTGACATGAAAGCAGCCGTATAGCCTGTAGTTCACATCACACCAGCGGACAAGCCGAGAGACACTTGCGAAGTTGCAAAGCGCAAACTGAAAGTGAGCAGCTCACGGAGGTGAGGAGAAATGTGACGTGCGCTATCCAACACTGACCGTCCCATTGAAATATTGGCTGGCAGCTCGAGATAGGATTGCCAAGACTGACATCTGGATATGATGAAACTTCGTTTCAAAACATTCTCATTTTTTCGTTTATCGTTTGTTTTATGGATCCAAATCAGTTACTGCCCAGATGTCACTTCTTTACAGAGTCCACACCAAAATGTATTTGGGTAGTTGACAAATATACCGTAAATGTGTCCTATGTGACAGCAAAGATTTAGGGGAAAAAAACTAACAATGAAGAAAAATCTCTCTTATGCTATTTGTATATTATTAACAATTATTAACAAGAAATTAATTATTAATAATGATTATTGTTTTCTAAATTTTGCTGTTACACCATAGGACACATGCACGGTATATATGTCAACAGCCCATTTAGGAAATAGCTTCACAAAATATGTCAAATGTGACTAAAACAATCCATATGAAATACCTGGACACTGGTTTCAGAGAGAAGAAATTTGAATTTCACACCAAAATGTATTTAGGAAATAGCTTCACAAAATATGATGTAAAATGTGACTAAAACTACCTAGGCCTATATGAAATACCTGGACACTGCTTTCTGGGAGAAGAAATTTGAATTTTTACAGAAATGTGTTAAGAGTTCGTCGAAACTAACACATTTAGCCAAATGTCAGATGTTAACTCAGTACTTTTTAAACAGTAGCTGTGTCCGAAACCGCGATATACCCACAACGTAAATGTATACTATCCACCTTTTTCTTCAACGCGGAAGTAAGCCTATGGGTGAGACTTCCGGTTCATTAACCGCTATAGGTAAATAACGAGGAGAATAACAACGTGCAGTAAACGGTAAAACAGTTTGCACTACAACCCAGTGTGTTCATAATTAAGATAATACATTAAAATAATACGATAAGACACACCAACTTTCAATATCAAGCAGCAAAACGAACTGTTTTGTTCAGCTAAAAATAGCTGGACGGAGTGGACGTAGATGAGACCGGAAGCCAGACCCATAGAAATTACAAATGGCCGACAAGAAAAAGGTGGATAGTGATAAATAATTACATTTTGTCACGTAGCGCCTAGTATTAGATACGGATAGGCTACTAGGCTGTGCTGAAAAATTCTCTAATTAAATAGAAATGTACTGTCTGTATGCTTAGTGCTTGCCTTACGATACTGACAAGATCCAACCTACACTAATAAGACCATAAATATATAAATAAATCCATGAACACAATAAGTGTAACAATCAACGTTCCCTAGAGGAATAAACTCATTCCAGACATCGCTAGACAGCAGATTTCTAAATGTGACCAAATCCACAAGACCATCATAAATAAAACCAGCAAAAGGTCAAGCAGTGCTAACATACTAAGAATTTATGTCCCAATGCATGCTGGGAAGAGAGTAAAAGGGACCTCACCACAAACAAAAACATCTTTAGGGGAAAAAATATTTAAAACTATACTGTAAGAAACATTAGCTACTTGTGTTCCTGGTCGTTTTAAAGTTTAAAGCCATAAACACCACAACAATCTAGTAAAACTTTGGTTGTTTTTGTCCATATTATCTACTTGAGCTAAGACTAATAACTACGGTAATATGGAATTTGTAGCACAATCATGCTGTTGCCAATAATGCAGTGATGACAACGGTCTTCAACTACTTATATTATAGCAGACAGCCACTTAAAACTGAACTTACCTGCAAACAGGATCGAATCACCTCCATGTAGTGTACATCACAATGGTTTTCCCCAAGGTCTAACAAGCCCATTAGAGTCCATTAAAACTCATGCCTAGGCCTCCCTTGACTGCACTCTCTTTTAGAAAACATGATTAGAGGTAGCGCCAGGCTTCAAAAAAACATCATGTGCCTGAGTATAAAAGCAGTTTGATTGTTTGATGAACAAACAAAGAATGCATCACTCTCGGGGCGTTCCAGGTCAGTCTTGGAAACACTTGAAGATTCACTGTCCAATCACTTTTTTTGAAATAATCCTGACAGTTGTTTTGTTTTATCATAAACCTTTTGGGTTACATCCATTTAGAAGTTCATACAGCAATTTGTAAATTATTTAAAGATGAGTAATACTAATTTTACACTTATTAATAAATAAGGTCTCACTCTTAGCATTTGAAAGTCTTGAACGCTGCAAAGTGGACAATCTCTACATCTGTGCTCCATAATCCACGGTCACATAAGGTCACAATAACTCTGTAATGAAGCAGTGCTACATCAAGCGAACCTGCTGCTGTGACAAATGGTGTGTCAAATGCATTGCACAAACAAGCCTGATAAACAAAGCCAGTAAAATCTCCAAGGAGATAAGAGCAACAGAATTAGTATTTGATAGCTTGGAAGAGGAGATGGATTCATTGCACTGGCCTGGATTCAACTCAAAAACATCTGGACGTGCAGTGGACCTTCCTGCTCAATACTTGTATTGTTCAATATGACCGTATCATATTAGAAGGAGCTAAATTCACCTGCAGAATTCAATTTGTTGTGGCAGAGACAGTTTCCAAATCGCAGCCTCTTAGTGCTCCAACCTTGACACAGTGCACAAGACAAAAAAATGCAAGTCTTTTCCCTGAAATGTTCCATATGTTAATTCCCATTCATTGCCTGAAGATATCTATAGGCTGTTTGCTTGATCACAAAACCAACACTGCTTCTAACTTTACATTATAACCTAAACTTCGCATGTTTATGAAAATAGCATTGAAATGTACGTTTTTCATTTAGTTTATCCAAGGTCCTTGCTTGTGTCTTCTATGGCAGGTCTGAATGTCTATGAGTAATGTCTACTGCAAGGTTGGTTCTCAGAAGGAACAACAAGACAAATTCACTGAATTGCTGTTCAAATAAGTACAACAAAGCTAATGCATTCTGGGAAATTGAAAGTGTTTTCCAAGCACTTTTTTGTAGTGTAGTTAATAAAAACACAACTGTTTATTGTTAGTTCATGTTAGCACAGGTTCATTAAATATAAAATAACAGATACAATAACTGATTTTAATAATGTATTAATAGAAGTTGAAATTAAATAAGATTCAGAGGTATTTTTCTGTTTTTTATGTTAGCAAACTAATGCTAACAAATGGAAACTTATGGTCACACTTTATTTTAAAGTCCACTTCTCACTATTGAAAAAACATTAACTATGACTTTTGCCTCAATAAACTCCTAATTTGATGCTTATAATTAGTTAGTAAGGTAGTTGTTAAGTTTAGGTATTGGGTAGGATTAGGGATGTAGAATATGGTCATGCAGAATATGTGATTAATAATTACTAATAAACCAGCCAATATGTTATTAATAGGCATGTTACTAAATTAATAGTGAGAATTGGTCCCTATACTGAAGTGTTACCATTTCTTGATTTTAATTTCATTTTAATTCTTCTTTTTTTTACTCTCAAATTTAAATAGAAATTCTGCATCCTCAATTTAAATTCAGAAATTATACTGAACTTGAAAATTTATTCTCAATTCAGTTTCTGAATGGCGCACATCATTGTCTGGTGCATAATATTGAAAAAGCATGTTCTCTGTTGTAAGCCATTGTATTGTTTTCACCCAGTCCATCAATATTTCTGTAATATCAGTGACAATTTCAGTTTTCTGACTCGAATCTAGTGTAACATCAAGCCGCACTGATGTTCTGTCCCAAGGCATGCCGTGGAGAAATCCAATTACACTATTATCAACCGCTAGTGTCACATCCATAAAGTATCTGTGGTGTGTTCACGCAGGCAAAACGTGAGAGCAAAAGTGCATATCAGAATGGTGGTCAAAAACAGCATGGGATGGATTTGCGTTTTCAGCTATGAGTTAATGCAATCTTAAAGTCAGGGAGAAATAACTCCAGTGTCAGCATATCTTTCACAGCACATATAAATCAGTTTCCCTGTGCATTGGGAATACGCAGTGGGGAAGGAGAATTCATATCTGTGAAGTGGTCAGAAGCTATTACAGACTTGCATTAGAACACTTTTCTGCAGTGTGTTTAGGGACATGTTGGATGAATTCCCTTCCTCCCTGACGCTGACTTGCAATCCCAGATGACAGCGTTGCTTATTTTCTGTTCTGTCACCTTGTCTCCAAGGAGAAGACTGAAAACTGTGGGTTCAGGATGCGCCAAGACTGGAATGTCAGGTCACACAATGGAGTCTGGGTGGCTACAACGTCTGGATGTCTAAAAAAATCAATAGCACAGGCCAGTATTCTAGAAACTGAACATGTCTATATTATACAGCGATTATATTTTGCATATTTTGTGCCAAACAGACAACAGATTTTTGAAATATCTGTTTACTACTTTGTTAACCACAAGATAACAGTGTGGCAAAGTAGTCCAAATGTTTTTGATATATCAAGTAGGCAGTTGTGATATAAAAGGTTATATGAAAATTCAAAGAAAATTACTTCCTTCACCCTCTGCCCCACTCTCTGTTGATAAACAAAGACTGAATGCTGATTTGTTCTGCATCAATAATGTAAACAGTATGTACAGTGAGGCACAAAGCTGACATGGAAAATATTTTTTGGCTCAATAGTCATAAAAATTCTAATGGACACCTTTACTGCTGTTAATGCTCTATAAATAAATAAATAGTGTAAAATTACTGGATTCCAAATAAGTCCATTAACATATTATTGGATTGGATTGCTTTACACAGACCGCAAATTTTCATTCCACTGCATTTCCAATGTTCTTCTATGTAAACATGCACTAGATGGACATGTGTGACCATTCACTCGCATTTGAAGATGATCTGCCACAGGTTTAAAAGTCTGATGTCAAACTTGGGACATCAGACTAATTGTAATTTGTCTGGAATGCAGCATAAGTTGAACTTTTTAAAAATGCATTCCATTTTTTCCCTATTCCAT